GAAGTAAATCACCCCTTAGCAAATGCAAAAGAACAAAAACCATAACAAACAGTCTCTCAGACCACAGGTCAATCAAATTAGAACTCAGGATTAAAAAACTAACTCAGAACCGCACAACTTCATAGAAGCTGAACGACTGGCTCCTAGTTGTCGACTGGATAAACAATAAAATGAGGGCAGAAATAAAGATGTTCTTCAAAACCAATGAGAAAAAAGGCGCAACGTACCAGAATCTCTGGGACACATTTAAAGCAGTGTCTAGGGAAAATTTATGGCAATAAATGCCCACATAAGAAGTGAAGATAGATCTAAAATCAACACGCTATCATCAAAATTGAGAGAGCTAGAGGAGCAAGATCAAAAAAACTGAAAAGCCAGCAGAAGACAAGACATAACTAAGATCAGAGCAGAATTGAAGGAGACAGACACACAAAAAAACCATTCAAAAAAATCAATAAATCCAGGAGGTGGTTTTTTGAGATCAACAAAATAGACCACTAGCCAGATTAATGAAAAAAAAAAAAAAGAGAGAGAGAGAGAGAGAAGAATCAAACAGATGCAATAACAAACAGTAAAAGGGATATCATGACCGATACCACAGAAATACAAACTACCATCAGAGATCACTGCAAACAACTCGATGCACATAAACCAGTAAACCTGGAAGAAATGCATAAATTCCTGGACACCTGCACCCTATCAAGCCAAAACCAGGAAGAAGTTGAAACCCTGAGTAGACCAAGAACAAGGGCTGAAGTTGAGGCAGCAATTAATAGCCTACCAACCAAAGAAAAGCCCAGGTCCAGACGGGTTTACAGCCGAATTCTACCAGATGTACAAAGAGGAGCTGGAACCACTCCTTCTGAAACTATTTCAAACAATACAAAAAGAGGGAATCCTTCCCAAATCATTTTATGAGACCAACATCATCCTGATACCAAAACCTGGCAGAGACTCAACAAAAAAAGAAAACTTCAGGCCAATATCCATGATGAACACAGATGCAAAAATCTTCAATAAAATAGTGGTAAACCAATTGCAACAGCACATCAAAAAGCTTATCCAGCACAATCAAGTAGGTTTCATCCTGGGGATGCAAAGTTGGTTCAACATACACAAATCTATGAATGTAATCCACCACATAAACAGAACCAAAGACAAAAACCACATGATTGTCTCATCAGATGCAGAGAAGGCCTTTGACAAAATTCAACAGCGCTTTATGCTAAAAACTCTCAATAAACTAGGTATCAATGGAACGTTATCTCAAAATAATAAAAGCTATTTACGACAAACCAACAGCCAATATCAGAGTGAATGGGCAAAAAGTGGAAGCATTCTCTTCGAAATTTGGCACTAGACAAGGATGCCCTCTCTCACCACTCCTAGTCAATGTAGTATTGGAAGTTCTAGCCAGAGCAATCAGGCAAGAAAAAATAAATAAATAAAGGGTATTCAATTAGAAAAGGAGGAAGTCATATTGTCTCTACTTGCAGACGACATGATTGTATATTTAGAAGACCCCATCGTCTCAGCCCAAAATCTCCTTAAACTGATAAGCAACTTCAGCAAAGTCTCAAGATATAAAATCAATGTGCAGAAATCACAAGCATTCCTGTATACCAATAACAGACAGACAGCCAAATCATGAGTGAACTCCCTTTCACAATTGCTACAAAGAGAATAAAATACCTAGGAATACAACTAACAAAGGATGTAAAGGACCTCTTCAAGAAGAACTATAAACCACTGCTCAAGAAAATAAGAGAGGACCACTGCTCAAGAAAATAAGAGAGGACACAAACAGATGGAAAACATTCCATGCCCATAGTTAGGAAGAATCAGTATCATGAAAATGGCCATATTGCCCAAAGTAATTTATACATTCAATGCCATTCCCATCAAGCTACCAATGACCCTCTTCACAGAACTGGAAAAAACCACCTTAAACTTCATATGGCACCAAAAGACAGCCCGCATAGCCAAGACAATCCTAAGCAAAAATAACAAAGCTAGAGGCATCACGCTACCTGACTTCAAGCTATACTACAAGGCTGCAGTAATCAAAACAGCATGGTATTGGTACCAAAACAGAGATATAGACCAATGGGACAGAACAGAGACCTTGGAGGCAACGCCAAAACCATCTGATCTTTGACATACCTGACAAAAACAAGCAATGAGGAAAGGATTCCCTGTTTAACAAATGGTGTTAGGAAAACTGGCTAGCCATGTGCAAAAAGCAGAAACTGGACCCCTTCCTGACACCTTACACTAAAATTAACTCCAGATGGATTAAAGACTTAAACATAAGACCTAACATCATAAAAACCCAAGAAGAAAACCTAGGCAAAACCATTCCGGACATAGGCGTAGGCAAGGACTTCATGAATAAAACACCAAAAGCATTAGCAACAAAAGCCAAAATAGATAAATGGGACCTAATTAAACTCCAGAACTTCTGTACAGCAAAAGAAACAATCATTAGGGTGAACTGGCAACCAACAGAATGGGAAAAAATTTTTGCAATCTACCCATCTGACAAAGGGCTAATATCCAGAATCTACAAAGAACTAAAACAGATTTACAAGAAAAAAAACAAACAAAGCCATTCAAAAGTAGGTGAAGGATATGAAGAGACACTTTTCAACAGAAGACATATATGAGGCCATCATCACTGATCATTAGAGAAATGCAAATCAAAACCACATTGAGATATCATCTCACGCCAGTTAGAATGGCAATCATCAAAAAATCTAGAGACAACAAATGCTGGAGAGGATGTGGAGAAACAGGAACACTTTTGCACTGTTGGTGGGAGTGTAAATTAGTTCAACCATTGTGGAAGACAGTGTGGCCATTCCTCAAGGACCTAGAAATAGAAATTCCATTTGACCCAGCAATCCCATTACTGGGTATATATTCAAAGAATTATAAATCATTCTATTACAAACACACATGCACATCTATGTTCACTGCAGCACTGTTTACAATAGCAAAGACTTGGAACCAACCCAAATGCCTGTTGATAATAGACTGGACAAGGAAAATGTGGCACATATACACCATGGAATACTATGCAACCATAAAAAACGATGAGTTCATGTCCTTTGCAGGGACATGGATGAATCTGGAAACCATCATTTTCAGCAAACTGACACAAGAACAGAAAATAAAACACCACATGTTCTCACTCATAGGCAGGTGTTAAACAATGAGAACACATGGACACAGGAAGGTGAGCATCACACACTGGGATCTGTTGGGGGGCGCTAGAGGAGGGACAGTAGAGGGTGGGGAGGTTGGGGAGGGATAACATGGGGAGAAATGCCAGATATAGGTGACGAGGGGATGGAGGCAGCAAACCACATTGCCATGTATGTACCTATGCAACAATCCTGAATGATCTGCATATATATCCCAGAATCTAAAGTACAATTTTAAAAAAACAAGAAGAAGAGTACAAATCTAAGAATTTTGGCCTAAGTAAAAGAAGAATGAACTTTTCTTTAACTCAGATGGGGAAGATTACATGGAGCAGATAAAAAGTAAGAGGATCAATTTTGAGCATCTTAGTTTAAAGATGCTTATTAGACATCTGAATGGAGATTTTGAAATAGGTTTAATATGAAGGGGTTTTATAAAAAAGTGAAAAAGACAAGTATATATAGTCACTGGTTTCATAAAATAAGGGGAAAATTTGAAAACACATACCTACTTAGCAAACACGTGTAATCTGCACACTGACAAAAAGACACTCTAAATAAGAAGGGTTAAGTATATTTGACAAAATAAAAAAGGAGACATTACAAAAACTGAAACATAACACTTTCCTAGAGAAGCAATGCTTTCCCTGTGACTGAATACTAAAAGAAATTTATCTTGGACTTTAATATAGAAACCATTCAGTTAGCAGAATAGATGATGAATTCACCACATTCCTACAGAAAACATAACGGTAGCATTCTAAAAACTTTTATCCTACAGTTTTTCAATGAAAACTGAGGATTTAAAAATAAATTATCTGTGAAGATTCAATATTGTCCATATATCATTTAGAGTCAGAATTATCTGCTTAGCAGTAACAGAGCTTAACTGGTCAAACCAAGATCACCACCCCATTATTTCATAGAAGAGGAAAGAGTTTTGAAAAAGGGAAGAGGAGGGAGGAGGAGAACCCTATGAAATTTAAAAGACTGTGAGGGGAAACTATGTAATATAATCAAATACAGTGAACATGACATTCCAATACTGAAAGAAAAAAAAAAAAAAAAAAACTTATAATGTACATTCTACTATAATTTTTCTAACAGCTATCAGGAATATAATTATGAAAATTATGAAAAGACTGTCAAAACACCAGTGATACACAGAGACTGTTACACTTTGTTAGGACATAGGAAAATTTTAAGTAGTCATTCCTTATATAATGCTCACTTCCTGGCATTCACAACAATATGCAGAAACTAGCCTAAAATTTAGAGTTGGAGAAAGGAAAAAAAAGAATTACAGTGTACTTCAGCCACTGGCTTTCCACCCCATAATCACAATGCTACACATTTAGAATACACAGTAATTGTAAAAGGGTTAAGCAAAGAAGGAAGGACACTTCCAACACATAAAAGTCTTCAAGGTTACTAAAATCCAAATAGAGTTGAATAGCATAAGAAAATGTTCCAAGTATTTTATAATTATAAAAGTAATGAACTAGAATTCAAATATAAATTAGATCTCTTGTGCTGGTGGTCCCACATGAACTTTAAGCTGTAAATATTTCAAGGGTTCGGTTTTACCTGGCATCACAAAGATCATTTCACTCATATGCTTTAATTTACACCAAATTTTAGTGTTAAAAGTAGATATCAGAAAATCCAATACCTGTGAACCCTGAAAAAAACTAATATGCATCACAAGTAACTCAGGAGACAATCTGCTGAGTGACAAATGCCTCATTAAATTTAAGCCAGGTGTTTCTGATACTTATGTATGTTCTCTAATGGTTTTTACACATCCTTAAACTAAGTTCTGACTTCAGAATTGATACCAAGCACTTTCAAATAAATGTAACAGAAAATAGTGAAAGTACACCTATTTGGTATGATTCCTTCTCCACTGATTCCTAACTCAATGATTTTTCTATCTTTCAATACGATCAGCACCTGTATTAAAGAAAACAAACTATTAAACAACTAAAACTAAATTAAACAACTAGAACTATTTTTGTTGTTTAATTCATTAAAGAGCCTTAGGAACATTTAGAATCTTTAAAAGTTTATTCCTAAGTTAATGACAAAAAAATAGTAAAAGAACACAAAAATGAGAGGCAACTGGGCATCCCCAGTCATATTAAATAGCCAAGGGGCTCATGCTTTTTTCATTACTTTGTAGCACATGCAGTTAGGTAGTACTTACAGAGAGCTGCAAACTAATGGTTAAGAGTAAATTTCAACTCCTTTCAAAGGCTAATGAGCTTTAAACAAAGGGATTCTTTAAAGGTGATCCAGGATGTATGTATGGTAGAGCATAATACTGTACACAAATATCTGGTGCTCCTCCTTGTAAGAAAATTACATATCCCAACCCTGCTGCACTTAGGCATGCATGGCCATAACTGCCAAATACTATGTTAGTGGAAATGACATGTCAATTTTGTACAGAAGCTTTAAAAGCCATCCTCCTTTTTCCCTGCCTCTTCAAGGATTAGAGTTGCAGATTATATTTTCTGTTTCCTGTGACATTTCTGATGAAAATTTGCATATTAAGCAAAATGAAGTGGCAAAGTATTAAGAAATATCTTCCTCCAACATTTTCTATACCTACCTAAAGTAACGCAGATCATCTTATTCTATAAGTATACTTAGTTCACATTTGTCTTCCCTCTAGAGCTTTGACCCTTACACCTCTGGACTACAGGGAGGATTACATACGCTCAGAAAATCAGAACTTAATATATACAAAGGTTAAGAAATGTTCACTTGTTAAAATAGCCTCCACTTCTTCCTTTGGTCACATGTTTATTCTAAAAATTATAGCAGAGTTCAAACTATTCATCAAACTAATTTTTTTAAATGTGATAACAAGGTTTTATTTGTTCATTTCTTGCATTTGAAGGACTCTTTGATGACATACTGGGACTGAGATTCTTTGCCATATTCCTTAACTACTGTACAACCACAACCAACTTCTTTGAGGGTATTCCCTCTCTGTCAATTTTACAGAGCCCTTCTCACTTCCTAGCTGCTTGTTGTCAGCAACCTTAATTAGGTTGATCTGGTGTTAGCACAAAGGGCCGCCATCAACTTGGCATAAAAAGGCTCATCACAGATGGATGCAAGCACACAAACATGAGCTTGGCACTTGTCTAAAGCTTGGCCAGCTTCACAAATTCCACTAATAGGTTACTGTGCATGAGGGTGGTCTTCAGAACCTCTTATAAAGCAGTAGCAGTGTTAACATCCATTACATCTCCAGCAACAACGCCCTCTTCTACCACAGCCGTGGGTTCCGGTGAAGCCAGATCTTGAACACACCCAAGCCTTTGCTTCCACAAGACTTGGTGGAAGGCAAGGAGCCATCAAAATAATGTGCGTCTTCACTTTATAATTTACAAATTATTACTATAATTAACTGAAAATTCTGACCTGAAAATCTGGTATTATACAAGCAATTTTTCCTCACAATCTCATTCATTATCCCTAGCCCTCATTATTAGATATATTATATACTGTCTACTTTATAGAACAATTACTGATATTTTATGACTGTGTAAAGCAACATTTTTTCCTGTCACTTTCTAAAATTCCAAGACTTATTCTACACATGTCTTTTAGAAACTAAATTCATACTGGTTTTTCTAGACTCATAATCTATTGATAAACCATGAATTATAATATTGCTTTCTAAGCATTCATCCTTTCAAGCCTAATAGCCTTTATACTAAAAAGCAAATTAACACAGGCAATATAATTGTAGCTTGCAATATTCGGATAACTAAAACTTGGAAGAAAAAATCAATTTCCTTAGAAGTAAAGCAAATTCAGTTACTCATTTCATACATTTCTATGGTCAATGGGCTTAGAAATAAAATCATTAGACACGACAATATACCTTCTGGTATTAAATTGGAATTAAAGGTACCAGTAAAGATAGAGAGACCAATGAATGATAAAGACATATGGGCAGAGGTATGGAAGTGTATGTGTTTGTAAGCATTTTCCAGCTTAATTCGCTAAGAAGGCTCAGAAGCAATATTACCCCAGTAGAAATGAGCACACATCTACCCAGATCTTGATGCTCAAACACTATTCCTCTCTTAAAAAAAAAAGTTTGCCTTGATAAGTAGCTGATTCTAAGATTGGGGTAGGGAAGGTTCAAAATGAGCTTGGAATATCTTTTATTACAGAAGTTCACAGAAAATGAAGGAGACATGTCAAAATGACATAGCATTGCAAACTAATCCATAATGACAAACCTGATCTATGATTGCATAGGACTAGGGCAGAAAAAGAAATGGAATGCAAAAAGCATGAGCAATATTTTTGGGGTAATGGAAATATTCTGTACATGTTTTCATGGGTTTATACATCTATCAAACTTATCAGATTATATATTTTAAAGGGACACAGTTTACTGTATATAAATTATATGTCCAATAAAGTAGATTTTTTTTTTTTTTAAGTCACGGAAGTTAGCCTGAAGGAACTCCCACTAGCCAAATCATACAGTTAACCAAGTAAGTAATACTAGTAATAGACTGATATCTAATGAATAAAACAGAATCTTTTGGTGAGTCCACACTGATAGATAAACTGGAGAAACAGAAGTTTTTCTTTAGAGTAAAATATCAAGTAATAAACATGAAAAGGATGATGGTGTTAGAAAAATCACCATTTTTGGCAACCATTATAGTAACAACTATTTGGGTAAACTTTACCCATGATGCTAAAACTGTGAGTGAAAGTCTGATGAGGAACAGCATATTTACATAGTCTCAAATTATCTCTTCATAAAACACTTATTAACACTATAGGGAGAAAAACAGTAAATGTACAGTGGCAGCACAGCTGTAACTAAGTTTATGATAAAATTTTAATCAAATTTAACATCCCCAATAAAAAAAGACATGGACACTATGTGCCTCCAAATATTACATAAGACATCATCACTCCATAGTCCTGCTAATAAAATATAACCTGAATCTAATCATGAGAAATCAGAGGGGGAAAAAAAAAAACCCAAACTGGGCCCATTCCACAAAATAATCAGCCTAAACTCTTCAAAAATGTGAACGTAAAGAAAACAACACACACACACACACACACACACACACACACACAAAAGGAGATTATTACAGATTTAAGAAACATGGGAAGTAAATTTCATGTATAATCCTCTTCAGGACTGGGAGAAAAAAACAGCTATAAAGAACACATAATGGAATAATAAAAAATATGTGTATGGAGACTGCAGAATAAACAATATTATCAGTATTAAATGTCTTGATTTTCATAACTGTACTGAAGTTACATAAGAAACTAACTTTGTTCTTGAGAAAAGCACATTGAAACACTAAAAAAAAAAGATAAAATACAGATATTTAGATAAAGACAAAGTGAGTGATGAATTAGCAAATGCAGTGAAATGTTAAAAACTCATAAATCTGAGGCCGGGCACGGTGGCTCAAGCCTGTAATCCCAGCACTTTGGGAGGCCGAGGCGGGTGGATCACGAGGTCAAGAGATCGAGACCATTCTGGTCAACATGGTGAAACCCCGTCTCTACTAAAAATACAAAAAATCAGCTGGGCATGGTGGTGCGTGCCTGTAATCCCAGCTACTCAGGAGGCTGAGGCAGGAGAATTGCCTGAACCCAGGAGGCGGAGGTTGCGGTGAGCCGAGATCGCGCCATTGCACTCCAGCCTGGGTAACAAGAGCGAAACTCCGTCTCAAAAAAAAAAAAAAAACCTCATAAATCTGGATAAAGGTCTGCTCTATTTTTATAATTTTTCTCCAAGTTAAAAAAAAAAAAAAGTTTCAAAATAAATCACTGCACTAGAGTTGGAAGGATGGACCCAGAGGTGAGTACTGTAATAGTAAGGAAATGTACAGAGGAATGGGATCCAAAAGCCCAAATTATTAGAAGTTCTGGTTCTAAGAAAGATAAGTATATAAAATAATATGTAAATAATGACTCAGTCTTAGGTTTCTTTACTGTAGAATGAGGACATTGTACCAGAACTTTCTAGCTCTATATCTAGATTTTTATGAACTTGTTCTATCACTTCATGCTCTTTTTTACCACAGTAAAAGCCTGGCTCTTCTGCAGGCTCAATACTTTCTTAAGAGACAGTGGGGAAAAAGCTGCACAAATCATTAATGTACAAACAAACCATAATTATGGACGAGGACAAAAGTGTCAGGAAGCTTAGTAAAGTCTAAAGTGGTAGAATGAGAAACACAGAACATTAACTTTGGTAATAATCTTAAAAATGATTTCTAGAAGTCTTTTATCAATTATGTTTAATAAAATCATGTATTAAATTTTAAAATATTAACTACCTTTTTTCTCTAAAACTCATTTTCTAGGCCAGATGTGGTAGCTCACATTTATAATCCCAGCACTTCGGGAGGCTGAAGTGGGGGAACTACTTGAAGCTAAGAGTTTGAAACCTGCTAGTGAGACCCCATCTTTAAAAAAATTTTTTTTAATTAGCTGTGCATGGTGATACATGCCTGTAGTACCAGCTACTCAAAAGGCTGAGAGGAAAGAATCACTTGAGCCCTAGAGGTTAAGGGTGTAGTGAACTATGATCATGTCACAGCACACTGGCCTCGGCAACAAAGAGAGACACTGCCTGTTAAAAAAAAAAAAAAAAAAAATTGTACAATACTGTATAGATAGACCACTAGCCAGACTAATAAAAAAGAGAGAAGAATCAAATAAACACAATAAAAAATGATAAACGGGAAATCACCACTGATCCCACGGAAATACAAACTATCATCAGAGACTACTATAAATACCTCTATGCAAATAAACTAGAAAATCTAGAAGAAATGGATTAATTCCTGGACACATACACCTTCCCAAGACTAAGCCAGGCAGAAGTTGAATCCCTGAGTAGACTAATAGTAAGATCTGAAATTGAGGCAGTAATTAATAACCTACCAACCAAAAAATGCAAAGAACCAGACAGATTCACAGCCAAATTCTACCAGAGATATGAAGAGGAGCTGGTACCATTCCTTTTGAAACTATTCCAAACCAAAGAAAAAGAGGGTCTCCACCCTAACTCATTTTATGAGGCCAGCATCATCCTGACATCAAAACCTGGCAGAGACACAACAAAAAAAATTTCAGGTCAATATCCTTGATGAACATCGATGCGAAAATCCTCAATAAAATATCAGCAAACCAAATCCAGCAGCATATCAAAAAGCTTTTCCACCATGATCAAGTCAGCTTCATTCCTGGGATGCAAGGCTATGTTCAACATACACAAATCAATAAATGTAATCTATGACACAAACAGAACTAATGACAAAAACCACGATTATCTCAATAGATGCAGAAAAGGCATTTGATAAAATTCAACATGCCTTCACGCTATAAACACTCAATAAACTAGGTACTGATGGAACGTGTCTCAAAATAATAGGAGTTATTTATGATAAACCCACAGCAAATAGCATAGGCAAAAGCTGGAAGCATTCCCTTTGAAAACTGGCATAGGACAAGGATGCCCTCTCTCACTACTCCTATTCAACATAGTGTTTTCTATATTCAATGCAGAAAACAACAAAAGTAAGATCGTTTCTTCAAAAATTTCTGAAATATTAAACAGGCCATTTGCAAACCGGGCAGACCAAAAACACATATATCTTTACTAGGAAGAAATCAGATAACCTAAGATGAATCATTTTTAAATGAGCGTACTAAAGATTTACTTAAGGTTAAAGCAGAAATCAGAAAGAAAAATATTAAATTATTTGACTAGATATTTAGTTTAGTTTAGTCTCCCCAATATAATTTACTTTTTTAAAGTAGGTTAACTAAAGCTGAATGAAAGTTCAAAAGAACAGAGTTTCAAAAAAATACAAAATTAAACACTAGATGATATATAAAGTTTATTTAAATCAATTAAAATTTTGAAAAATAGTCTACCTGAATCGTCCTGGGCTTCATGACTTTCACCATCATCTGTTACCTCTAATTCTTTCACAAAATTTGAGGGAAACAATCCCAACTTGTTGTTCAGGGTTCCACTCCACCAGCCTTCTTCTACCTGAAAAAGTTCACAATTCGAAAGTAATAAAAACCTCTGTTAATTGAAAGTCTTCACTCTATGGGACAATTAACTTACAAAAGCAAATGAGCACAAAATTAGCACTGTGAAATAAACCGTTTAAAATTTAAAACACAATGAAGAAACTATATTTTAAGTGTATTACATTTTAGTGGATTATTCATACATGGAATTAATCATATATCAACAGCACTTTGCAACATTTACAATGAGAATTTACAATCAAGCACAATCTATGAAGTACTTTTCATGCAAATATCAGATAACCAAATATACTTTATTAACAGCATGAAGTACATAGCTTCTTCAGGAATGTCACTTTTGTAAACACTGCTGAGTCTTAATTTGTATATTATTTAAAGTATCTGGAAATTTTTGATTTGAAAAAAAATTAACGACCTTATAAGAATGTAACTTCCTGGTCAGGCATAGTGGCTCAGGTCTGCAATCTGAGCACCTTGAGAGGCCAAGGTGGGCAAACTGCTTGACCAGGAGTTTAAAAGCAGCCTGGGCAACATGGTAAAATCCTTTCTCTTAAAAAAAAATATGAAAATTAGCTGGGAAAGGTGGTTCCCCCGCCTATAATCCCAGCTACTGAAGAAGGTGAGCCTGATTGTGCCACTGGACTCCAGCGTGGGTTAAAACAGAGGAGACCCTATCTCAAAAAAAAAAAAAAACTTGGCCTCGAAAAGAAAAGAAAAGAAATATAACTTCCCAAATGGAACAGAAAATTGCTAAACCTACTACTTAAACAATGATTCTTAAGTATAATAATTCCCTACTTTTAAAAACCCAGATGTCAATCAAATACTTTAGAAAAACATTTATACTTACTAATATGATTACTTAATTTCCATGAATTTATTTAATCTTCAATAACTATAAAAATGTATAGTTTCTGATAAGGATATTCAGGAGTGCTTACAGATTAAAAACAATTTTTTAGGCCAGGAGCAGTGGCTCACACCTATAATACCAGCACTTTGGGAGGCCAAGGCAGGCAAATCACCTGAGGTCAGGAGTTTGAGACCAGCCTGGCCAACATGGTAAAACCCATCTCTACTAAAAATACAAAAAAAAAAAAAAAAATTAGCCAGGTGTGGTGGTGCATGCCTGTAGTCCCACCTACACGGGAGGCTAAGGCAGGAGAATCGCTTGAACCTGGGAAGTAGAGGTTGCAGTGAGCTGAGATCATGCCACTGCTGTCCACCCTGGGCAACAGAATGAGACTCCATCTCAAAAAAAAAAACAAAATTTTTTTTTAAAAAGAGTAAACTATTACCTGTCAAAATGTACCTACCCAAACTACACATAATATAGCTAGAAAAATATATTTTTTTGTTTAAAGTGTTTTTGTTTCCCATCTCATACAAGGTAGGCAAGCTTTTACTAAGTTATTTATCTAACAGGCATTATGTGTAACCTATGGAGTTAACAACTAGGGAAAAATTCAAACTTGCATATGAGAAATCCCTGTTCTTCAATAAAACATCCAAAGGAAAAAAAAAAAAAAAACAATAAGCAGATAGCTACAATACAATGCAAGAGGTACTATAACTAAAGTATGAACAAAATGTTGTTAGAAACACATAGAAAGGGCTTGAAAGAATCAAAAAATGCTCCCCTGGCTGGCGCAGTAGCTTACACCTGTAATCCCAGCACATCGGGAGGCCAAGGCGGGAGATCATCTGAGGTTGGGAGTTGAAGACCAGCCTGACCAACATGGAGAAATCACATTTCTACTAAAAATACAACAACAACAACAAAAATTACAGGCACATGCCTATAATCCCACTACTCGGGATGCTGAGGCAGAAGAACTGCTTGAACCTGGGAGGCAGAGGTTTCGGTGAGCTGAGATTGTGCCATTGCACTGCAGTCTGGGCAACAAGAGTGAAATTCCATCTCAAAAAAAAAAAAAAAATGCTCCCATGAAAGGAAATTACCAAAAAAATGTGATATTAAAGGCTGAAAAAGAGTGAAAATACAGTGACTTAAAAATAAATGAGTCGTGGCCGGGCGCGGTGGCTCAAGCCTGTAATCCCAGCACTTTGGGAGGCCGAGGCAGGTGGATCACGAGGTCAAGAGATCGAGACCATCCTGGTCAAAATGGTGAAACCCCATCTCTACTAAAAATACAAAAAAATTAGCTGGGCATGGCGGTGTGTGCCTGTAATCCCAGCTACTCAGGAGGCTGAGGCAGGAGAATTGCCTGAACCCAGGAGGCAGAGGTTGCGGTGAGCCGAGATCGCGCCATTGCACTCCAGCCTGGGTAACATGAGTGAAACTCCGTCTCAAAAAAAAAAAATAAAATAAATAAAATAAATGAGTCATGGAAGGTATAGCTAAAATACAAAGTGGCTGCTAGAACACAAGCTGTGTGAAGGAGAAAAAGAAGGCAGTAAAGCAGTAAAGCGTGAAGCAATCAGAATTTTTATCAGACTTAAGGAAGCACCAAAGAACTGGAAGTTATCCAAACTAAATGAGATGGAAGATATGTAGGCCAAGCTAGAATACATACAATAAAGGGAGAGAAACTTCAGCTGTCTATTATCTATATCTGAAACCCCAATTAGCAGCAACTGAGGAGTTAGGGTTATTTAAAGAGTTCTTAGGAGGCAGAGTAGTCTAGTGGTTAAAAAAAAAAAAAAAAAAAAAAAACTCAAAAATAGACTGCATGACAATTTGCAACTGCAAAAATATAGAACCAGCCCAAATGCCTATCAACAAGTGAATAAAGAAATTGTGACATATATACACACACTAATACTATGGAATACTACTCACTACTAACTCAGGAATGGAAAACCAATCATCATATGTTCTCACTCATATGTGAGAGCTAAGCTATGAGGATGCCTGGACTTTGGAGACTTGGGGAGAAAGGATGGGAGTGGCAAGGGATAAAAGACTACACATTGGGTACAGTGTGCACTGCTCAGGTGATGGATGCACCAGCATCTCAGAAATCACCACTAAAGTATATATTCATCTAACCAAACACTACCTGTTTCCCAAAAACCTATTGAGATAAAAAAAATTAAGAAATTTTTAAAAGAAAAAAAACAGACTGCAAGAATTGAAATTCAGACTTAGATGGCTGCAAGATCTCTCATCCTACAACTGTGACCTTGACACTCCTCCCACCCAGAAGTGATGGTCTCTGTTCCCTACTCCTTAAATCTTGGTGGCTTATGACTGGCTTGTCACCAACAGCTGGTAGACTGTAAAAGGCAATAAAGTTAACACCACATGTACCAAACTGCTTGGCATTTAAGAGCCATGAACTGCCATATATTAAGTCCAATGATCTTGAGATGCCCATACTGTAAGAAAGGCAACCCAAATGGAAAGTCTAACATAATGGCTCTCCAATTGGTAGTTCCAGTCTTCATGGCTTCTAGGCACCAGACATGTGAGTGAAAGAAGCTTCCTATTATTCCAAGAGTTGCCAGCATTGAATCTTTCCAGCTGAGGGCCCCAGACAAGTCATCCAGGCTATGCTCCATTTGAATTATTGACTCACAGGCATAATACAACCATTGTTCTTTGCCACCAAGTTTGGAGTGGCTTGGTATACAGCAACAGTAACCAAAACAGCCACCACTCCTCTTCCATGATTCAGTCTCTTCCTATGTACAATGGGGATAAAAATACCTATCTTCTTAGGTTTTTTAAAACTTCCAAGTATATAATAAATATGAAACTTTCAGCATAGTGCTTCAAACATAACATAAACTCAAGAAATGTTAACTATTATTACTGCTACCAGGTAAAAATAAAATAAACACCCTCTGGATAAACACAATCGAAGTTTGTATAAACATAAACATTAGTGATTTACAGAGTATTTTGACACAAAATCAATCCGTGCTACAATACATGATATCAAAACATACCTGTTAAAAACATGATCTTCAACTGTGAAATTAAACTTTAAAATTCTTTCAAATGATAAAAGCAGAGATGTGAAAAATTATTTTAAATTTTTTTTTCATTTTTTTTATTTCCATAGGTTATTGGGGAACAGGTGGTGTTCAGTTATGTAAGTAAGTTCTTTGATGGTGATCTGTGAGATTCCAGTGCACCCATCACCTGAGGAAAATACACTGCAACCAGTTCGTAGTCTTTTAACCCTCACCCCTTTCTCACCCTCTGCCCCTGTGGCCCCAAAGTCCATTGTGTCATTCTTATGCCTTTGCATCCTCATAGCTTAACTCCCACTTATAACTGAGAACATATGATGTTTGGTTTTCCATTCCCGAGACACTTCACTTAGAATAATAGTCTCCAATCTCATTCAGGTCACTACAAATGCCATGAATTCATTCCTTTTTATGGCTGAGTAGTATTCCATCATATACATATATACCACAGTTTCTTTATCCACTCATTGATTGATGGGCACCAGGGCTGTTTCCACAAATTTGCAGTTGTGAATTGTACTGCTATAAACACGCGTGTGCAAGTACCCTTTTCATATAATGACTTCTTTTCCCCTGGGATTGTAGTGGGATTGCTGGATTAAATGGTTGTTCTACTTTTAGTTCTTAAATGAATCTCCACACTGTTTTCCATAGTGGCTGTATAAGTTTAAATTCCCATTAGCAGCATAGAAGTGCTCCCTGTTTACCACATCCATACCAGCATCTGTTATTTTTTGATTATGGCCATTCTTGCAAGAGTAAGGTGGTATCGCGTTGTGGTTTTGATTTGCATTTCCCTGATAATTAGTGATGTTGAGCATGTCTTCATATGTTTGTTGGCCATTGCATATTTTCTTCTGAGAATTGTCTATTCATGTCCTTAGCCTACTTGTTGATGGATTTTTTTTTCTTGCTAATTTGTTTGAGTTCATTGTAGATTCCGGATATTAGTCCTTTGTCAGATGTATAGGTTGTGAAGATTTTATCCCAATCTGTGGGTTGTCTGTTTATTCTGCTGACTGCTCCTTTTGCTGTCCAAAACCTCTTTAGTTT